GGGGTCTCATCCTCATCTTTTGAGCGGTTCCCTCCTGGGATCCCCCCTGGGATCCCCCTCCGCTGTCCTCTCCTGCTCCACGTGACCCAGGGCTCAGCTAGTCTTCTTGCCCCGTCCAGTTCTGGAGCTGTCCAGGCATGTCTGGATGGTCAATTGTCTAACTTAAGCAGAGCCAGTCACACCCCATGTACGGCTATGATGAAGCCTGGGACCTCCTGAACACCTCAGATTAAGAACCCATGAAAGGGGGCTTCCGTGGTGGTCCAGTGGTTGGGAATCTACCTTGCAATGGAAGCGACACTGGGTTGGATCGCTGGGCTGGGAAGATCCCACGTGCCTGGGAAGATCCCACGTGCCTGGGAACAACCAAGCCCATGCATCACAAGGAGAGAAGCCGCAGTATTGAGAAGCCCAGCACCACAACTAGAGAGTTGCTAGTTGTGGTGCTGCTGGCAGCAACTAGAGAAAGCCTGTGTCCAGCAAGGAAGTCCCAGCACAGTCAAAAATAAATATTTCAAAAAAGAAACATGTAAACAGAGAGGGAGATATTAAAGAAAAAAAAAAAAAGAAATAACACATTATTATTCATGTTTTCACCTCAACTAAGTCATTTTGTGGAAGAAACTATATGTTCAAATAGTCAACTGATTCACATGACAACCCTGGGGAAAATGTTATTTATTAACAAGTACTGAGAAGTAGTGCAATTTCATTCTTCGATACCTTTTTTATGGACATGTTGGAAGGCAGCGTGGATAAAAGAAATTCACTAAAGAGTATAACAAGTAGGGAGAAGGGAACATACTAGGTAGGAAGCATTTTACAACTGATGAGGAGACAAATATCTGTGAGTCCAATTGTTTTGTTATAGTTATTCATTTATATTTTAGTTTCCACATATAAGTGAAAGCATACAGTATTTGTCTTTCCTCTGTCTGACTTATTTCACTAAGCATATTACCCTCCAGATTCATTTGTTGTTGTTGCAAATGGCAAATTTTTGTTTATTTTTATGGCTGAATAATATTCCATTATTAGTTAGTGTAAGTTGCTCAGTGGTGTCTGACTCTGTGATTCCATAGACTGTAGTTTCTTTGTCCATGGAATTCTCCAGGCAAAAATACTGTAGTGGGTTGTCATTCCCTTCTCCAGGGGATCTTCCCAACCCAAGGATCAAACCCAGGTCTCCTACATTGCAAGTGGATTCTTTACCATCAGAGCCTCCAGGGAAGCCTAATATTCCATTATACATATATTCAATTAGACACACACACACCAAGGAAATGGCGACCCTCTCCAGTATTGCCTGGGAAATCCCATGGACAGATGAGCCTGGTGGGCTATAGTCCATGGGCTCACAGAGTTGGACATGATTGAGCAACACACATACACACACACACACACCCCACAGACATAGAGAACAAACTAGAGGTTACCTGTGAGAAGAGGAAAGGGGGAGAGGCAAGAGATTGGGGTATGGGACTAAGAGATACAACACAATATGGTAAATCAACTTCAACAAAATTTAAAAACTATACCTGTTTAATAAGTGATTTGGTAATATGCATCAAGAACATATTCATACACTTTGACCCAGTAACTTTGTCTTTCTTTTTCTACCTAACTGGAGAAAAATATTTATTCTGTGGCATTATTTGTAAGAGAAAATACATCATTGGAAACTTGGATGTTGAACAATACTAATTATGGTATGTGTTCGTGCAATAATATTTATGAAGGTTTAAGGTTGAATAACAGTATGTATACTTAATGCAACAAGACCAAGCAGAATGTAAAATAATGTATTCAGTGTGAGATATTTAAATATGCATATAAACATATAAAATGTGCATATAATTAAACACAGACTATCACAGGTGCTATGTTCACTCAAAATGTATTAGCATTATTAATACCCCTTACAGATGAGTAAGTTACTGTTCAGAGAGATGAAATAAGTTTCTGGAATACTCCTCAACTGGTAAATTGTGAACTCATGAACCCCAGTTTTGCCTGGTTTCCCCAAACTGGTGAAATTCCAGTTTTGTCTGGTTCCACTGAACAAGAATTTAACAGTTACCTTGACTCCCTGGGCATCGAAAAGTCAATCAAAGTTGTCAGTGAGCAGTGGGATTACAGGTGGTTTACTTTTTTTCTTCACACCTTTCTTCATTTTGCAACATATTCCAGAGAAAATATATGCAGATTAAATTTAAACTTTTATATTTGAAACTAAATAGTGAACATATTTGGAGCATGCGCTAGATAAAAGTTGATCACAACCAATGTGCAAAAAGCTCCTATAAATTGATAAGAAAAAAGATAAATAACTCAAGGGAGAAAGATGCAATTCAGAAACCCAATGGCTAGATTCAGTAGCCAAAAGATTCAACATATTCCTAGAAGTTAAATTAAAACCATGCTGGGACATTCTGATGAACCAGTAGTTAATACTCCATGCTTCTACTGCAGGGGACTTGGTTTCAATCCAAGAACTAAATTCCCACATGCCTTGTGGTGTGGCAAAAAAAAAAAAACGCCAAAACAAAAACATGATGAGATACCATTCTCCATCTTATCAAGTTGGCAAAAATTTTAAAGATTCATAATACCCACAAGCTGGTGGGGAGATGGGAAAAGAGGCACTCTTACCCACCGCTGGCAGGAAGGGGGCTGTTCTGGTAGGATCTATTAACACTACATACGCATATGGTTTGACCTGGAAATCCCATTTGTACCATTCTGCCTAATAGAAATCAAAGCACCACTTGTAAGGATATATGTTTAGGAATAATTATTGTGGCATTATTTGTAGAAAGGGAATTGGAAAAACCATGACTATCCACCAATATGAAAATAATAAATCAAAATCTATCAATTCAGTGGACTATCAGGCTGTCATGAAAAAGAACTGGATCTATAAGTAATGGAGTGTAAAAAGGAATAGATAGAGTACTGTGTATAGTATCACTACTGAAGTGTGATCTATCTCCCAGCAGCACTGGCATCATCTGGGAACTTGTCTGGAAATACAGAACCTTGTCCTCATTCTTTTTTTTTTTTTTTTGATGTGGACCGTTGATCATTTTAAAAGTTTTTATTAAATTTGTTACAATATAGGTTCTTTTTCATGTTTTTTAGGCTGCGAGGTATGTGGGATCTTAGCTCCTCAACCAGGAATCGAACCTACATCCTCTGCATTGGAAGGAGAAGTCTTAACCACTGGATCACCAGGGAAGTCCCTTGTCCCCATCCTTGACCTACTGAACTGGAATCTGCATTTTAACAAGATTCTTTACAGAAACACCAGTGTTTAGTGTGATCCTATAAAGGGGAAGCCTTCTCATGTGTCATGGCAAAAATGGATAATCATCTGCCAAAGTCCGACCTTTCCTTCTACATTAACTTCTCGCTTTTAGCTGGGTGCATGGCCACCAGGGGCAAAGATTATGTTTCCCAGTCTTTCTTGCAGTTGGGTGGGACCATGTGGCTGAGCTCTGGCCAAGAGGACAAGACTGGAAGTGAAGAGGGTCATTTCTGCATTGTGCCCCTAAAAGGGACATTGCCTGAATCCCGCTGGCTGTTTCTTACTTACATTGTCTTTTTTTTAAGTGTGCACTCATTTTATTTATTTATTTTTGGCTCTGCTGGGTCTTTGTTGCTATGAGGACTTTTCTCTAGTTGTGGTGAGCAGGGGCTACTCTTTGATGTGATGCAAGGGCTTCTCATTGTGGTGGCTTCTCTCGTTGTGCAGAACCCCTCTAGGGCATGCGGACTTCAGCAGTTGCAGCACACGGGCTCTAGAGCACAGGCTCAATGGTTGTGGCTCACAGGCTTAGCCACTCTATGGCACTGGGATCTTCCTGGACCAGGGATCAAACCCGTGTCTCCCGCATTGGTAGGTGCATTCTTTATCACTGAGTCACCAGGGAAGCCCTGTTTCTAACTCTCTGCTAACTGAAACCTATCAGTCACAGTATCAGCCACTATATGAGTCTGTTCAGCTGCCATAACAAAGTACAACAGTCAGAAATTAACTTTCTTCCAGTTCTGGAGGCTGGAGAATCCAAGATTAAGATCTGGCAGGGTGAGACCTCTTTATGGCTCCCAGGCTAATGTTTTGTTCCATCTTCACATAGCCTTTCTTTGGAGTGTGTGTGTGTGCGTGTGTGTGTGTGTGTGTGTGTAGAGTTCTCTTTCTTTGTGTGTGTATGTGTTTACTTTTCTCTTTTTCTTTTTAAAGACCACTAGTCTTTTCAGATTAAGGCTTCACCCTTTTGACCTCATTTAACCTTAATTACCCTCTAAGTCCATGGGGTCATAAAGAGTTGGACACAACTGAGTGACTGAACTGAACTGAAAGGCCCTGTTTCCAAATAGTCACGTTAAAGGTTAGGATTTCAACATATGAATTTGGATGGGGGACACAATGGACTCCACAGCAGTCACCTGTGACTCAGCTAGAAACTGCTGCAAAGATTGCCATTTCTCTCACCTGCTTACCGCTGAACTGTTAGATGAGAAACAAACTAGTACATTATTCAAGACTTTGTACTTTGGTTCTCTTTGTTACAGCACCTTAGACTGTTTCCTAACTGACTCTTACATTTGTGTTCCCCAAGGTCCACTGAGCAAGAAGAAACATAGGAAATGAAGCCCTCTAAATGGTTACTGTTGATTGCTACAAGGGTGGGAGTGCGGAATGAATTAAGAGCATTGAGGTAAAAAGTTATCCAACAGCACTTTAAGGTTTACAATCATACCCAACATTCAATGACTATGGGAAACACGATTATTTTCCCTTTTGTAAGACTCCTTATAGCAGGGTTCTTACTTATACTGAAGCACACATATTCCTGCCCTTCATACATACCGGTTTCCCTTCTTCCCTCCCTCCCATCTTCCTTCTATGGCGGGGATGCTGTGCCCCAGGGCAGGCCAGGGAGTCAAGTCAAATCAGGCAGGCCAAGTCAAACAAGCACAGTCTTGGTGCCACTGGATTGTCTTTCCAGAGTTTTATTTTTAGTTCTCCGATCCATACTCCAAGGGATTTCCTTGTGAGAGGGAGGAATTTCCACAGGGCCCTTAGAAGGTGTTCTCAGCCTACCTACTGGTAAAATGGCATCAAGGGCCCCCATCGGTTCAACATGGGAACCTTGACTGTACAGTGAGAAGGGCAGGCACAGCCGGGCAGTAGAAAGTAGCCTTTGCCCACGTCTGGGGCAGGCTGGCGCTCAGGCTCCAGAAGACAGGGGAAGTCGGCACCCTGTCGAATCCGGTTCGGGTCGCCGTGGGCCAGGTACAGAGCATGGGAAGCTGGGTACACGGATGGACAGACGCTGGTGAACCTACATTCATCCTCCACTGGGGCCACATGGTCCTGTGGTGGGAAGAAGCCAGGTTGCCCCAGGTCCTTGGCCGTCATGTGGGGTCTTTTGAAGGCAGGGTATCCATCTTCTAGCTTGGGGTTGGGGCTGGGGGTGGGTCTGTAGAACTCTTTATCCCGGAGTTGGGTGTCCAGCTTTGCTTGCTGTGGAAATAAATCATACACAAAAAGAGGGCGGAGAGAGGCAACAATGGAGCTTCTTCCCAGGAAGTCTCCAAGACAGAGCACACTTGGGACTTCCCTGGCAGTCCAGTGGTTAAGACACCATGATTCCACTATAGGGGGCATGGGTTCAATCCCTGGTTGGAGATCTAAGATCCCACATACCGCAAGGCGGCCAAAAAAAAGAAAATTAAATTCAAAAATAAATAAACAAATGAGACAGGGTATGCTTTCTTTATTTTCCAGAGATTAAATAGTTTTTGAATGGTAAGATATACAACAGAAGGATGTACTGAAATAGTACAAAAGGGTTTATAGTGAAAAGTAAGTCTATTTCCTACCCTCCTTCTTTCTCAGGTCCCATCTCCAGGGACAACCACTGTCATCAAAGTGTTCTGTGTCTTATTAGAAATATTTTATGTACATGTAAACTTATATGTATATGTCCAGATGCCTTTCATCTGTACACGTGATATATATTATTATTTCAGTCTGCACTTTGCTTCTCCTAAATAATTTAATCTCAGAAATTGTTCCACCTTTGTATAGATCCTCTAATTAATTTTAGTGGGGTTACCTCAAGATAGAAAAAGATGTCTTGAATAAAACTTAAAAAGAGCAAGGGTTTCCCAGGTGGCTCAGTGGTAAAGAATCTGCCTGTAGTGTAGGAGCTGCAATTTTGATCCCTGGGTCAAGAAGATCCCCTGTAGAAGGAAATGGCAATCCACTTCAGTATTCTTGCCTGGAGAATTCCATGGACAGAGGAGCCTGTTGTGCTACAGTCCATGGGGTCTCAAAAGAGTTGGACACACACGACTTAGCAACTAATCAACAATAAAAAGAGCAAATGATAAAGGAAAAGACTGATACATCTACCTATATTAAAATAAGAATTTCTATTCAGTGAAAGAATGAAATGACAAGTCACAGACTGGAATTTTGCCACTTGGACTGTAGCCTACCAGGATCCTCAGTCCATGGGATTTTCCAGGCAAGAATACTGGAGTGGGTTGCCATTTCCTTCTCCAGGAGAGACCCAGGGATCAAACCTGGGTCTCCCTCATTGTAGGCAGACGCTTTACTGTCTGAGCTACCACACATACACAAGGGAGTGCTTAACCCAAAACTTAGAAGAATGATTACCTCTGGAAGTTGGGGGAACGGTGGGAACAGGGAGGGGCACGCAGCGCTCTAAAGTGTTGTGTTTTTAAGCTGACTGATAACAGGTACATTGGAGTTTATCAACATTGTGTGTGTTAGTCGCTCAGTCGTGTCTGACTCTTTGTGACCCCATGGACTGTAGCCCACCAGGCTCCTCTGTCCATGGGATTCTCCAGGCAAGAATACTGAAGTGGACTGCCATTTCCTTCTACAGGGGATCTTCCTGACCCAGGGATGGAACCCAGGTCTCCTGCATTGCAGGCAGATGCTTTACTGTCTGAGCTACTAGCTGCTGCTTTATCAACATTATTTAAACTGTAAATGTTTATTATTTACTATGTGTCATATGGGTGACATACTTCGTGTATATTTGAAAACAATACACATGAACTTCCCGGGTGATCCAGTGGCTAAGACTCTGCCCTCCCACTGCAGCGGGCACTGGTTCCATTCCTGGTTGGGAAGATCCCGCATGCCCTAAGGCATGGGCAAAAAAGTAAATAAAACAGTACACACACATACACACAGAATACCTTTTTAGATCTCCTGGCTTCAGACATCGTTCTCAGTAAGTGCCCTCAATGTCCACACTCACAATAAAAATGGATAAAGAGGATTTCAGTGGGCCATTGAATGGAAGGCAGGACTGAGTGACTTCTTACCTCTTCTGATGTGACCCTGGCGTATTTGTGTTTCCCATAGGGTTTGTAGTCGATCATGTAGGAGCTTTGGTATATGTCCAAATCCACAGGGGCCTAAAGATCAAGGGAGAACACTAAACAAGAGATTTCATCCTGTTGTTCTTCCACTTAAAGGCTTTCAATGACTTCTCATTGTTTGTAGGACAAAGGTTAACTTTTGAGCCTGGAATTTGGAGCTTTTCTTGATCTGGCTTCTACTTGACTCTACCATCTCAACCCCCTTGGCCCAACTCTGCCCACTACCCCAGCCTCACTGCTTTTGACTCTTCCAAGTGGCTGGCACATATTCTTATCTCCGGCTAAAAACATAAGCTATATTCTTCACCTGCTAGCAAACTCCTACACATCCTCCAAAACCTGTATTAAATCCCTTCCCCCCAAATTTCTTCCTCCCATCTCTCTCTACCTTCCAACAATTAAACTCTTGTTCCTCTGCTTCTACGGCACATTTTACATCCCTCAATACAGCAGTTATCATGGTGTGCTATCGCTCACTTAGTGAAGGATACTTGATTAGGATTTAATTCTAGGCATCTCTTCAACCTCAAAGCTCAATGCATTGCCCAACACACCAAGGGTGACCAATACATGTACACTAAGCAAGTAAAGGAATCTCCAGAAAATCGTAAACTCTTAACTTTCTTCTGCTTATTAAAAAAAAAAAAGAACACCATGCAGGGATGGTAACCAGAGGGAGCTTCAGGGAGCCTGGCCCTCCCTGGGGCTGTTTGTCAACGCTGACAATCTTGAGGTGGTCACAGCGATCAGAAGCTCACAACACTCACCTGTCCAGGGAACACCATGCCTGACATAGCAGACGACCTAGACACAGACAAGCTGGTTAGCCCCGCTTCTGCCACAGGCAGGGAAAATAGTCTAAAACTCCACCAACCAATCACATTACTCAATCGCCAGGCACTGGTGATGGCAGCAGGGATAAATGGGTTGGTGCACAGGGGTCCTGGGGCAAGGGGGCTATAGCAGGACTCACAGGGAATCACAGTTGTTGAGAACATCAGATCTACCCCTCAGGCAGAGGTGAATCTGGTAGCAAGGCAAGTGTTGTGCTGGTAAATGTTTAGCAATCTCCTTTTGGGCGGGGGAGGCAAATAAACTCCAGTTTTTAGCATTTGCAAAGTTCTGCTAAGTCGTTTCCACCCTGGCCCATTTCGACCCATTGCAGTATTCTTGCCTGGAGAATCCCATGGACAGAGGAGCTGGACAGGCTACAGTCCACGGGGGTCGCAAAGAGTCAGACAAGACTGAAGCGACTTAGCACTAATGCAAACAGAATGTGCTCCCAGAGCTGGGATGACTACAGTTCACGGGGTCCCTAGGAGCCAGGGATCTGAACAGCCTGGAGAAAGCAACGGTCAGGCCTGGAACTTAGAGGCATCCTGATGCAGAAGCACAAATTATGTTTCTAGTGGAGACCGAAGGGATCCAGGGTGAAGGTTTTGAGGCTCTGCATTCTCGGTGGACAACAGCCATGGATGGGTCCAATCACCCCTCAATCCTGATATCTTAGTGGGGAGGCCTTTCTGCCTGGGCTTGGGGGAGCTCTCTGAGCCCACTCTGTCTCATGTACTTGGCTCTCTAGGTTCTGGATGGCTCCTCCATTTCGTTCCCATGGCATCCTGCCCTGAGGGCCATTCCATTCGGGGACCGTGGACTATCAGGGTGTTGACAGACCTCAAATAGCCCCCGTGTCCCTTCCTTTTTGTGCATAGACAGCTCCTCTCCCAGACAGGGGGGAAACTTCAATGCAAACAGCACCTACCCTTCCTTCTGCCAAGAGGATAATTATGTTTCAGCCCTGCCAATTCCAAGTGTCCCTGCCACCTGGACAGTCTTGATGCTGTGTCCCTCACCACAGCAGTCTGTGAGATGAACCCTGACCCATACGATGTTGGCTATTTTGGTCACAGTCCCTGGGCATTGTGATGGGGTGACTGGCCAACCTCCTGTGTGTCAGTCCCCTTATCCCTGGCCCCACCCTCTCTCATGGAGAGCTGATGGTATTCCAGCATACCTGAGCCAACACGAAGCCTGGCAGCAGTGAAAGGTACCCAGGATGCAAGGCTTTCCAACGCTCTACTGAATCGGTCTATTTGCAGGTTAAAAAGAATCTCATAGGGATTATGACATCAGACTTTGTGTGACTGAAACCACCTCATACCAGAGCCCTTCCAAGCGTCTGTTGCCTGAAAGCCTGGCTTATCCCTCCTCTGTCTGTCAAAATTCCACTCTCCTTCACAATTATTTGGATGGTTGTAATCCAAAACAAAAAATAGTAAGTGTAGACGAGAATGGGGAGAAACTTGTGCATTGCTGGAAGGAATGTAAAATGATGAAGCAACTGTGGATAAGTGCTTGATGGTTTCTCAAAAAATTAAGCATAGATTTGCCATGCATGCATGCATTTGTGCTAAGTTGCTTCAGTCATGTCTGATTCTTTGTAACACTATGGACTGTAGCCCACCAGGCTCCTTTGTCCATAGGATCCTCCAGGCAAGAATACTGGAGTGGGTTGCCATTTCCTTCTCCGATAGATTTGCTGTTTGATCCTGCAATTCCACCTCTGAATATGTACCTAAAAGAACTGAAAGCAGGGACTCAAACATATATTTATACATCTGTGTTTCTGGCAGCATTATTCACAATTGCCAAAGGATGGAAACAGCCCATGGTCCATCAGTGGATGAATGCCTGAACAGACCGTGATGTATACACACTATGGAATATTACTCAGCCTTCAAAAGGAAGGAAATTCTGGCACATGTTACATGTATGAACTTTGAAAACATGCTAAGTGAAATAAGCTAGACCATAAAGGACAAATATTGCACGATTCCATTTATATAAAATACCTGAGTCAAATTCATAGATACAGAAAATAGAATGGTGGCTGCCAGAGAGCTGGGAGGAATGGGTATCAAGTTTCAGTTTGGAAAGAAGAAAAAGTTCTGGAAATGGAGAGTGGTGATGATTGTGCAACATTGTGAAAGTGTCTAATGCCACCAAACTGTGAACTTAAAATGGTTCAAATGATAAACTATACAGATATATACTATTTGCATAAATGTTAATATATTTACTCTCATACATACAAATTCCACTCTAAGGGCCACCTCTTCCACAAAGCTTTCCTTGGTTTCTCTCCAGACACACTGTAGACTCCTTTCATTGACCCAATCAATATTTATTGAGGACTTATTTGGTGTTGGGCACCGTTCTGAACCTTGCAGATTCATCAGTGAACAAAGTAGATGGATATTCCTGCTTGCATAGGACTTACATTCTGGCATGAACAAGACATAGAGTAAACCAAGTACCAAGTGATTCAGCCTCCATTAGATCCAGCAAAGAAGCAAGATGAGGGAAACTTCCCTGGTGGTCCAGCGCCTAAGACTCTGCGCTACCAATGCAGGGGGCCTGGGTTTGATCCCTGGTCAGGGAACTAGATCCCACATGCCACAACTAAGACCCAGCATAGCCAAATAAATAATTTTTTTTTTTTTAAAGAAGCAAGATGGGGGAATGACTGAGGCATTTCAGATTGGGGTGGAGGTTGTCCAAAAAGGAGAGAGATATTAAAGCAGCAATCTAAGCAGAGAAAGAACCAGCCCTGCAACTATATAGTTCCATATATACAGTAGGTCCTTGTTGTTCATATATTTTATGTATAGTAGGGTGTATCTATTAATACCAAATTCCCAATCTATCCCTCCTCCCCTTCCCTTTTGGTAACCATGAATTTGTTTTCTGTATCTGTGAGTCTATTTCTGTTTGTAAAGTCCATTTGTATCTATTTTTCTTTTAGGATCCCACATGTAAGTGATAGCATATATTTTCTTTCTCTTTCCAAACTTACTTCACTTAGTATGATCATCTCTAGATCCCTCTCTGTTACCAGCAAATCATCTTTAGTTCTTTATTGATAAAACATATATCCATAGATTAGATGGGAAAACTAAAGGAGAAAAGGGCTTCCCCACTGGTTCAGTGGGGAAAGACCTGGAGAGAAGGGCTTCCTAGCATGCGGGTCAGGAGTGCAAATCTTGTAAGACAGGAACAAGAGTGGAACAAGAAGAGCCAAGGAAAGGAGTGGGTGAGGGCATGAAACCAAGAGAGGGAGCATGTTGTGCATCTCTGACTTCCCCCTTTTTCATTCCAGCTTCCCTTTAGAGAGCTGTTTCTCTCCCTTTCAGGAATCATGTAGTTTGAGTGGTGCTGATCCTACCCCAGCTCTAAATGGGTGTTGTTGTTGCCAGAAAATTCCAGCTCTCGGCCACCATTCAGGGAGAAGATGGTGACCCAAGGTGGGCTGGTGAGGACCATCCCTAGCTCTTGGGAAAGAGGATCTGTCTTTCTGAGACAGTGTACCTCAGGGTCCCTATTTCTTCACTGAGAGTTGAAACACTGTGTTACGCTTCAGACTTCCTCCAGCAAGACTTCAAATAGTCAAGAGATTTTTGTGAAGCTTGTGATGGACCATGCAAAATATCACGTGGTGCCAATTTTTAAGTTTGTACAGTGTGATTATTGTTTTTCAGTTGCTAAGTCCTGTCTGACTCTTTGAGACCCCATGCGCTGCAGCATGCAAGGCTTCCCTGTCCTTCACTGTTTTGACAGTCCATGGGGTTGCAGAGTCAGACGTGACTGAGAATGCACACATGCACAGGGCCAGGTTGGGTCTGATAAAAACAATAGTTATAGTGTGATACATGTTATTTTTCTGAAATACACAACACAGGTAAATTTCTCATGGTTCTTGCCTTCTCCTTCAACAGCATGTGTGTGTGTGTGTGTGTGTGGTTGGGGGGGCATCTTTTCCACACTCAGTAGGTATGAAAAAGAAACCAGAAAGCAAATCCTGGTTGTTATACTTTTAAGCCTAAATCACATACAAGTGTTAGCTTCAAATTGTGTGCGCTAAGATAAACTAAATTTCATAATACACCAACATGAGTTCATAACACACCAACACACACCCACACAAAATAAATAACACACCAACACAAGTGTATTTCTGAAAGCATGGTTAAGGTGAA